CTCTCCTTTCGTTTTGATTCCTCTTTGGCACTTGGGGCGGGCGCGGCCCGGCTCTCTTTGGCGCAGGATTCCGCGGGCCGCGCGCGGCGGGGTGGTGGCGCGGACGCCTGAATTCCCGCCGGAGACCCCGCAGGCTGGGCCCTCCTGGCTATTCTTCCTCCGCTCCAGTTCTCCTCTCGCTGCAGGACACAGAGGAGCTGAGCCAAGTTCAAAGTCACGTCGCCGTCCCCTCTTAGAAGTGTTTTATTTCTCTGCAAACCGCAAAGCCCTTTCCTTCATGACATAGTAATTTTTCCCCCCTTTTTTCTTTCTCAGACAGGAAAGAGAGAGTGCTCTCGCAAGAAAGCAAAAGCCGGGGGTGGGGGTGGGGGGCTGGGCGGTCGGGGGGTGGGACTGTGAAGGCTTTTCAGCCATTGCCTCCAAAGCAGATTTGGATTCCTTGGCCGAATGGGGAAAATGCGGCCAAGCTGCGTTCTGCACCGTGTGGGTGATTTCATTTTTTTTTTTTTTCAACAGGTCTCTGGAAGGACCCTCTGTGGCGGAGTCAGATCCGCGGGGCCCACAACTGTCTCGGTCGGATAAACAGGTCCCTTTTTTTTTTTTTTTTTTTTTTGGTAAGTTTTCCAAAATTGCTCTTTGAAGATCTCGCGGAGCCTGCGCCAAGCTGGCGAGAGAGTGGGGGGTTTGCTGTCTGTGGACGACCCCGCCTGGTGAGCCCCTGGGCGTCCAGGCTGGCTTACATGTCAGGGCAACTGGAGGGAATGGCAGTGCGACAGAGAGTTCTGGGTGTCTTAAAAAATCAGAAAATCCCATCTAGCACCCGGGCCTCATTCACTGAGCACCTCACTGCCCGGGTGGGCCTCTGTGAATGGTTGACTGCGTTCTTTTGTAGCAGGATGAGTATTTTGGGTGTACACATACATAAAAACAATACCTATGTACACACAACGTACACAAAGGTACATCTTGCTGGCCAGCAGAAGCCAAAGCAAAAACACCCCACAAACAAACCCATCAACAACAAACAAAACAACCAACATTTAAACTGGAAAGCAGAAACACTTGGTGGCTAGATCATTCAAAGTTTTACATTGTCTCCTAAGGAAAAGGATGTGTATGGGGAAAGAGATGGGAGGAACAAACAAATGTAGAATCAGCTGTCTATATACAGCCAAGCCCCCTTACCCCCCCCCCCCCCCAACATGATTTCAGCACCGTCCTCTGTATCACAGACTCATAAATTCAACAAGATCATCAACAGGATATTAAGTTGCAGGTCACCTTTGATTCAGCCCTCTCAGCCACTCCTGGGCTGGGCGACCCCTGACCCGTGAAGGACCACATGTGTGGTGAGGGATCCCCCCTCGGTAAAACCCACATAGAACAAAAGTTCTTTGTCAGAGCGTTAGGGAAGTGTCATATAAAAGAAAGGGAAATCGTGAAAATCTCAGACAACGTTGTAACTTTTAAATGCCATTTTTTTTTTTTAGAAGGGAGAGGTTGAGTCAAGATGGGGAGGCATCATAGGATAAGGCCCTCTCCTGTCTGCTGAAAGAACTTCTCTTCTTCCTATAGTTAAAATTTACTATTCTGTAACTTATATAAAGTGTCTCTATAAAATATGTGCTCACCAGCAGTTTGGTGATTGGGATGCAAATGTTTATGTATTTGTCATTAGGGACTCAGAGAATAATAGACACCAATGTTTCTATGTCCCAGTGGTTGTGGTTTTGCAAAAGGAAGAAAACTGGTTGTCCTTACTTTGTCTCCTCTTTCCTGATGGGAGTGTTTCTACTGCTACAAAACAAAACAAAACAAAAATAAACCGAAACAAACAAACAAACCAGGAGGCATTAGCTTACAGGAACGTGTTTAATTATTTTGAGGACCGTTATCCTTTGGGCTCCCAGGCGGACTACATCCAGGGAGGTTGAATACTGGTGACAGGCAAGCAGCTTTCCAATAAACTGCAGTATTATTGCAATAGACTTTGTAATACAATTTATGCTGTCATTCATAAATAACGATGCCATATGTCAACCATATTGCTTACACAAGTAAATCCGTCAACGTGTCACTATTTGATTTTTCTCAACAGCTTCTTCAAATATTGAAGTATAGATATTGGGAGCGGTGTGAAATGTGTGTGTGGAGGCTCCCCACAAAATCTGAAACTTAAAAAGAAAACAAAAAACATAGCACACCACCTCTGCTCCTCCTTTGTCCTCCATCCAAAAACATCCTTCAGGATAAAGGATGAAGGGAAGAAGAAACGTCTTGAAGCCAATACAAATAATAATACCTCGTAGTTATATGAACTGTGAACACCTAAGGGAATTTTGTGGTTCCTGTTTTGACCTTATAAGCATATTTTAAAACACAACAATCGGGCACCTCCCAGGAATTTACCAATCCTAATGGTTGAAATGTGGGTCAAAGGCCAATCTCCAACTACTTCCATCTTTGAGGGTAAAAGTGATTGATAACCAAATGAGAATATTTGACGACAGGCCAATTTTACTCCGTTTATTTTTGTTTTAATAGCGGGGACGTATAGAGAGCCATCATTTTCAAGGGCTTTTAACCACTAAAGTCAGGTGGACATGAGGGTGTGTCCAATTCTTGACTATCCAAAACAACAAAACAAATTCCAATCATAGCTATACCAGTTCCAATCTTCTGGTTAAAAAAAAAAAAAAAAATTCTCGTTAAGCCCATGTAAAGGGGTCATAAACTTTAGCAAAAAAAAAAAAAAGCACATTTTGATTATTCTTAGCTCCACAAGCATCCGTGAAGCCGGAGGGCTCAGCGCGAGCTCAAAAGAGAGGAAAAGAGAGGCAATACACCTAGAGGCGCTCTGCGGAGCTCAGAGCACTCAAGGCCCCTGGGGCGGGTCTAGGTTCCCAACGGGCGGGACGCTAGGGGTGAGGGCGGGTGGGTGCGAAGGGATCTGGTCCGAGCCGAGTGCAGGTGGGGCGGGCAGCGGGAAACTCGCTGCCTAGATGCCTCGCGAGCCTCGTTTGGAAAAAGCCCTTGAACCCAACATCTTTGTCACTTCCGGCCCTGATAAAGCTCAATAAAAATGCAGCGTTGTGGGTCCCTTTGCCCACCTCACCTCGGCTTAAAGAGTTCTGGAGTGCATCTCCCGTTTTCTGTGTCTGCTAGGAACTCTCCTCCTCCCAGTGGAGCGCCCGCCGCCGACTTTGGGCTGCGCTCCCAGGTCCTTTCGTCCCTTGGGTAGCTCGGGATGCCGCGTTCGCCCTTGAACCCGCCTCTGGCGCAGCCCAAATGGCACCGGGCGCTCCCGTTTCGCTAGACACCCGGCCCTTCGGCCAGGAGGCGGCTCTCGCGGGAAACCACTCCCGGACTGGCGAGCAGTAAAGCCATTGCAACGAGCAATACAAGGCAGCTAGCTAGGTGGGTCCCCCTGCTCCTTCCGCGTCTACCTCGCCGTCCCTGGCTTACCCCCTCGGCCGCCTTGCAGAAACAATCAAACAAAGGCTCCAAAGCCAGGAAATGTCCAATTCACTCCCCTTAGAGTTTATTAATGGCCCACACGATTAATAAACTCCGCGTTCAGGGGCGAACGGAGGGGCACTGGGGAGCCGCAGACCCGCTCTGCGCAGCGGGAAGCCCTGCGCGCCAGCCTGGGCACCTCCAGAGACCCACCCGGTCCCGTTGCCTCCAGGCAGCGGTGCGCAGCGTGGCTCCGGGCTAGCTCGGTGTTTTTACTTTTCCCCCTCAGCCTCCTCGCTCCTTTGTTTGGGGCTGAGAGTAGGGTGGGGGTTCGGGGGTGCAAGAGCGAAGTCTGGAGATCAGTGCTCCCCAGGAGTACCTGTTGACCCCAGAAAGGGCATTTCCAGGTCTTGCCAGGTAGCTGCTCCCACCCAAGCACCAGCCAAGGCGCAGACAAGGACATGCGTTTTGAGGATCGGCCATGACTACCGGCACCCCTGAGGAAATATGGGGCTAAGCCCACAGAGCCACCCCCAAGCCTTTCAGCTAGCATTCTGTTCTCCCAACGCCCTGGAAATGGTTGGTGTTTATTTAGGAAGTACGACACAGTTACTGGGATGTTAAGGGGGTTTGATTTGGCTCCCAAAAGGCTTTAAAAAGGAACAGCGCACCTGGGGTTAGGCGGGTCATCATAATAACAAAAAAGCGCGTCTACAAAATAAAAAGCTCTTTTATAAAGAAAGGCAATCCCGGAAATTCACTGGGAGCCTTCCTGAGAACCGTCTAGCTAGGCCTATTCTCAGGTTTAATTGGCAGGCAGTTTATTGGCGCCTGATTGGTGCTGACTGGATTTTGTTCCCCAGTTCTTCCTTTTAGGAATTAGCATTTCAAGTCGATTTACCTGAGTCAATTATCTTTTTAGGGCCTGGGTTTAGCCATAAATTTGCAAATATTCATTAAACCGCACTGTGTAAATATCCCTCTTTCCAATCGCCACCCAAACCTCTGTTATTTCCTAAGAAAGTCTTTCCTTTTTTAAGGCTTCCATAAAAAGAAATTGATCAGGGAACTATATTTGAATTAAGACATATTAAATCGATGACAGATACATATCACGCTGTGTTTAACAAGAGTTGTACAAGGAGGCGGGTTCCAGATTCCGCAGGGCTCTGCTGCACCATTATTCACATTTTTACAGCCTTTCCTTCATGCCTTCACTCATTAAACCATTAAATTTCAGCAATTCAATAAAACAAAGCAGTTATAATTTTGAGGAAAAGCTATTTTGAAGGGGGTGGAGGTACTCATTTTATTGCACAATAAAAATGCTCAACAGTCCATATTAAAGGTTATGTTGTGGTTATTTTCTTCTTTATTCATTCTTTTTGCTTTGTTTTTACTTATAACCTGCAGAATTGAACGTAAAGCTGCCATTATGGAAGTATTGACGTCCACTGCCAAGGAATTCAAATAAAGGGAACTCACTTGAAATGTTCTGAGAGATAACGAAGACAGTGGCGACAATCTCAGACATGATGCTTTGCTCCACCTTTGCCTGGATGGCTTGAGATGGTTTTGAGTCTTTCAAACGAAATTGTAAAAGATCTTGTCCTCTCCAAATACAGATGTGGATTTTGTCACTGTTGCTTATTTTTAAAATTTCTGTTGTGTTTGCACTCAAACCTTTTTTATTCCCCCATATTTGAATTTCATCAAAAATTAAAAGAAAAGCAACACATTTGAAATCTGATTGTATTTTACTTGTTTGTCTGTGTTTTATAAAAGAGAAATGACATTTCCTGGGCTCATAGGGAAGTTTCCTGTTACACATTGTTCACATCAATGTAAATGGGGCTGTGGAATCAGGGCTTTGGAAAACATGTCTTACCTCTTCCCAGGGCCATCTCCTGGAGGATGGTTTTGTGCAGTCTACTTTTGTGTGAAAATGAATTAAACTAATAACATTTCATTGTATCCCAAAAGAAAAAAAATCATTTATCAATTTCCCCCTCTAAATAATGTTATGCAGGGCAACAAAAGGAAAATTAAAACCTCTGACTTTAAATCTTGAGCATCTTGGAACATCACACAATTTTAATAGCTTATTTTTAAAAGCTGAAGTGACACACTGGGCAGTAAGAACCCTAAAGATTGGGAGAATGCAACAATCCCCCTCCCCACCCCCGCCTAAAAGTGATGCAGAAACGCTTTTAAAACTACTTTGATGGCAAATCGCTTGAAAGATATGGATTTCATTCTTTAAAAAAGCCAGTTTTTATGGTTTTAAAATAAAACATCTCGCTTGCTAGTTCAGCTATCAATTATTAGACCATTGATAGCAAGGTAAAAGGCAATTCAATTATTAGTAAATATATAATGAAGACATTGCTTGATTTAAAAATAATTATTTTCTTGGATCAATTCTAATTCATGGGTCTTTCGAAGAAACTGAGGCACACACGTGGAGTACATTCTGGGCTGGAAGGAGAGATTCTGCTCAAAGGATATTATTTACTTAGCTGCTTCCTTCTGGAGAGATGCTGTTGGCCTGCTCTGCCACTGTATCTCCCAGAGGCAAAAGTTAAAATCGCTGCCCCAGATCCCGCCTCCTCCCCCCCGCCCCCTCCCCCCTTAATTGGAAGTGGCAGATCCAGATCCGGTGAGCAGTGAGATTATATTTCGAGCCAATTCCTTTGAAGCATATTAAAAAGGACTCCATGAGCTAAAAAGTCGAGGTAACACATTTCCTTTTGGGAAAGATGTATTTTGACTTCCTTTGGTGCTTATAGCGGAGCCAAACTGCTCAGATTGTTTTACAACCCATAGGATTTTAATACCCTTCCTCATTCCGTCTCCCCATCCGTGAGCCCTGCGTGAGCGTTTGGCAGACTGGTGTCCTTCCCAAACAAGTTTCCAGCATCATCTCTACCAGCAGGAGGACGGGCGACCCTCTCATCGCCCTCTTTCTTCAGCGTAGCCTGGGGCCCTTCCAGGGGAGGAGGAAGCGTGTGCGTGTTGGAAGGGGCTCTGCGCGCGGTGAGGCGGAGGGTTTGAAGTCCCCCCTCCGACCCCCCCACCTCCGCCTTTTGTCCCCGGCGGGGGTCCCCAGCGCTCAGCCACCACTCGCCCTGCGGCCGCGTGCCGGCGCGCGCTCTCCGCCGGGAGCGTCTGGGAAACGCGGGGCGCTGCGCGCGCAGGCCCGGCGCAAACTTTCTGCAAGTGCAACTCGGCCGTCCCCGGGGAGGAGGGGGTGCGGGGCTCCGGGGGAGGAGGGGGGAGGGCGCCGAGCGAGAGCTGAGGCGGCCGCGAGCAGCGGGGCGGACTCCCGCTGGGCCGAGGGTCTGAAAGGGAGCCAATCGGGCAGCCGCGACGGCTGCCAATCACGCGGCCCTCTCCAATCCCACCCGTGCCATTTCCCAAATCTTGGTCCCACTGTGCGAGCTCGGATGTGGTGTTCACTCTGCCAATCGCTGGAGGACGGAGTGGGGACGGGAATGGGCAGAGTTAGGAGACCAGGACAAAAGAAGTTAAAGAGCCCCTCATATATGTATCCATGTTTTTGGAGGAGGGCAGAGGGGGGGAAAAAAAGTTACCCCAGGGAGGGCCTATGGGTTTGACGGTGTGGTTCTGATGGAGCCCCCTTTGAGCAAGAGGAACCCGCCCGCGCTGAGATTAGCGGACTTGGCACCGGCTCAGGCCAACAGGCCTCTCCAGACTATGACAGGCTTCCCCGCGCTGGCCGGCCCGCCCGCCCACTCCCAACTTCGCGCCCTCGCCGCGCACCTCCGCCCTCAGGACCCGGGCGCTGACCTCGGAGTGGCCATCACTCCGCTCGGACCCGAGCACATGGCCCAGGAGAGCGCCCTCCGCCTCAGCCCTCCCTCCCAGGCGCCCCCGGCGCAGCCCGAGGCTCCCGCGGCCTCGGCGGCGCGCCCCGGAGCCGGCACCGGCACCCACCCCGGCGGCGGCGGCAGCGTGCTGCCCTCCGCGCCACCGCCCCCGGCCCCTCCTCTTCCTCCCTCCCCTTCGCCCCCTTCCCCTCCCCCTCCTCCCCCTCCTCCTCCTGCCCTCTCGGGCTACACCACCACCAACAGTGGCGGCGGCGGCAGCAGCGGCAAAGGCCGCAGCAGGGACGTCGTCCTCCGGAGGGACCTCTCCGCCACGGCCCCCGCGGCGGCGGCGGCGGCCATGCACGGGGCCCCGCTCGGAGGGGAGCAGCGGCCCGGCGCCGGCTCCCCCCAGCACCCGGCCCCGCCTCCCCCCTCGGCCGGCATGTTCATCTCGGCCAGCGGCACCTACGCGGGCCCGGACGGCGGCGGCGGCGGCGGCGGGGGCCCGGCGCTCTTCCCCGCGCTGCACGACCTGCCGGGCGCTCCCGGCGGCGGCCACCCGCACCCGCTCAACGGCCAGATGCGCCTGGGCCTGGCGGCGGCGGCGGCGGCGGCGGCGGCCGAGCTGTACGGCCGCGCGGAGCCGCCCTTCGCGCCCCGCTCCGGCGACGCGCACTACGGGGCGGTGGCGGCCGCGGCAGCCGCCGCCCTGCACGGCTACGGAGCCGTGAACTTAAACCTGAATTTGGCCGCAGCTGCAGCGGCTGCAGCCGCGGCGGCGACCGGGCCGGGACCCCACCACCTGCAGCACCACGCGCCGCCCCCGCCGCCGCCGCCGCCGTCCGCGCCCGCGCAGCACCCGCACCCGCACCACCCCCACCTGCCGGGGGCGGCCGGGGCCTTCCTGCGCTACATGCGGCAGCCAATCAAGCAGGAGCTCATCTGCAAGTGGATCGACCCGGAGGAGCTGGCCGGCCCGCCGCCGCCGCCACCGCCCCCGGCCGGCGGCGCCAAGCCCTGCTCCAAAACGTTCGGCACCATGCACGAGCTGGTGAGCCACGTCACCGTGGAGCACGTGGGCGGCCCCGAACAGAGCAGCCACGTCTGCTTCTGGGAGGACTGTCCGCGCGAGGGCAAGCCCTTCAAGGCCAAGTACAAGCTCATCAACCACATCCGCGTGCACACGGGCGAGAAGCCCTTCCCCTGCCCCTTCCCGGGCTGCGGCAAGGTCTTCGCGCGCTCCGAGAACCTCAAGATCCACAAGCGCACTCATACAGGTGGGTGTCCGCGCCCGGCCGCGCCGCCGCCGCTTCTCTTCCTTCGCCTCCTTCTCTTCCTCCTCCTTCTGCTCGCTTTCATTTTTCCCTCCTTCTGCTGCTTCTCTTCGCATACGTATAACCCGGACATGTGACTTTCCCCCCCCCCCTCTCTCCCCCCCTTTTTTTCTATGAATAAGTAATCCGATAGCACACACAGGCCCCGCGCTGGTGCCCACATGGCGGAGTCTCCGGCGCTCCCGCAGCAGCTCCGCCGCGACCGGCCACGCGCGCCCAGCCACCGCCGCCCCGACAGAAGCTGCAGCAGCCGGAGCATCAAGGCGCCCTGGACAGCCCAGCCCGGCCGGCCCCGGGGTCCTGAGGAGGGCGATGGGGGGAGAAGGGATGGAGCCGGAGCCGCCCCGGAGGCTCTTTCCTCCCCACCCGGCGGCAGGCCCCGCGTGGGAAAGGGGCGCGTGGTGTTGGCTGCGGTGTCTGGGCCACCAGGCCAGTTCGGTGTGGTCCTCCCCCTCCGGAGTGGGGCGCAGAAATGCTGAAGGAATGAGGCCCCTGGAGACCCCCCTACACACACACACACACACACACACACACACTCGCCCCACTTTCTCACACTCCACACATGCACCTTCACGTGCACACACATCACACAAAGAACCCCACACACCTCACTCGCTCCTGCGCCCCCCCTTCCTCGTGTGACCTGGCACACTCACCTTACACACAGGTAACACTCTCACACTTCCTCCCTTACACACCTTCCTGCACACCCATGCTCTCACACACACACACACACACACACACACACACACACTGCTATCACACTTCCATCCCACAGGACCTGGAGCTGCCGGACAAGGCGGCGCCTGCCCTTTTAGAGGAGGTTCTGGTTGGAGAGGTCCAGGGCAGGCTGCAAAGCCTCCCCCGGCCTTAGAATGTAGGGGGGAAGCCCCGGCATCGCGGAGACCCCTCCTGACCCTCCCCAAGCCCTGACTTTGGGGGCGCAGGGCCCTGGGGGAGGAGGAGGGGGGGTCGCAGGCTCCTTGGCACAGACGAGCGCGTGGTGAGGAGGCGCTGGCGAGCGGAGCGCAGCCGGGATTTATGGGGACGGACGGGCGGTATTAGCCCTCGGAGGACACTTGGGGAACTGGAGTTTACGTTCAGTAATTACTTGGCTGATTTATCGGCGCGGCGGCGGCGGCGAGGAGGCAGCCGCAGGGCGCTGGCCTGGCCGCCCGGCCAGCGGCGGGGGGAGCCAGGCCCACACCGGCCCGGCCCCGCGTGGCTCTGCGGGGGATGGGCCGGAGCCCCCTGTGCCGGCCGGTTCTTTCCTAATCGGATCCGTCCTCCGTGGTGATGATGTTTCCAAAAGGGAAAACTTCCCCCGAGGCTCTCGTAAAGCTGGGGCCTGCTGCCTGGCCCTGTGCACGGGGCCGGGGCCTGGGATCCTGAATTCGGACACACAGGGGGCGCAGAGGTCCCCACAGGGAACCCCTACGAGCGGGGCTGCCTGCGGCCTCGGCCCTTCCCTCCTTCCCAGGCCTCGGAGGGGGAGAGGACGCCAGAAGAGTGGAGGGCCCTGGAGATGGATGGCTGGGCAGCTGGCCTGGGTCCCTGCTCTCCCGCTCTTCCTGACCAGCCCCCCCCCCCCCCCCGCTCCACCCCCCAGGAGGGGGCGTGTGCGGGTACCTATGGCCCTATGGCCGCTTTTTCTGGTTCCACGTTACCTGGTTGCGTGGATGCCGGACTCCAGGGGCTGCGTAGGCCTCGCCGGGGAGGGATGCGAACCCCTCACACTCCTCAAACCCGCGCGGGTTGGGGTGGTGTTGGGGGTCTCTGGGCCGCCTAGTCATTGAACATTGTGCCCAGGGAGGGACCATCGGTACTCCCTCTTCGCTATGCCACTCTCCCTTTTGGGGGGCTACCCGTGATCCCAGAACATATTGATCAAAAGGAATAATCCCCTGGCCACTCCTGAAGGCCCGTTTCCTGGCCCACGTGTGTGCCCACAGTTGCATTTATGACCTTCCTCTGGGCCAGGCAGGAGTCCTCCCTGGAGGACTGACAGGATCTGGGAGTCACCCACACACACAGCTCCCCTTACTCTCTGAAGCTCCATGTCAGAGTCTGAAATGTAAACACTGGGGCCTCCCCCTTTCTGGCTAGGGAGAATGTGCTCACTGCCTCTTAGTTCCCCAGAGTAACATAGGCAATTCTGCCACCATCTTCCCTCTTCTTGTTTCTCCCATTTCTTCACCCTTAATCTTCACCTTTCCACCCCATATCGCCCCTTGACTGGGTCCAATTGCTTCTTTTTCACATGCAGTGCTGGTGCCAGCCATGCCCAAGCCATTTATACTTCATGATCTGGAGGGCACAGCGTGTACAGAAACATGAGAAGTCTAAGATACAATGTTGCACATTTGCATACAGTGAATAAAACCCCCTAAAGTTCCATTAAAATTCATCAATAATTGAAGAAAGGCTGGTTATAATTTTTTTTTTTTTAAAGACTGCTACGTTATTATCTCCAACTTAAAGTAGAATACAGAAATCAGGGCAAAAACCAATGTTTTGATTTTGAAAAAAATGGATTAATTTCTTTTGTTGCAGCTCATTGACAGAATTTTTTGAAGGTTGTGATTATCATTGTGTTATGATGTTTTCCTCTTGTTATGGGGGTCAATGTAGGAAATATATTTGAATAGTATCTAATTTTATTCTCAAACATTATTTCCAAGTAGGATGAGTTAATGTTCCAGGCATCTGAATACTTTTAGTGGTGCTAACGTACACTGGTATTGACAAAATTAATAACAGTAAATACTACACTGAGATATTTGTGTTAAGGTAATAAAATTCCCCACAACAACTTCTACGCACTAAACTGTCTTAGTTGTTTTTAAGAAGAAAAAGAAATTGATCAAAACCAAGGAAAGGGCATACCTGTGCCTCATCAGAATAGCTGCTCACATGTGGAGAAACCCAACTTGGCTTTTTAAATATGAGAAAAATATTAATATGGTAGTATGTATGAAGTGATTTGTTCAGTTACGGAGTTAGGTACATCAAGTTCATACATACCAAGGTGAGAGGGGAAATTCATACTGTCACCTGCTGTCTTCTTTTTTTGCTTTCTAATGCCAAGGTGGAACGTGGCTGAAGTTCTTGTCTCATTGAGCATTCCCACTTCCCCTTGTGTTCCTGGGAGGTTAGAGCAGCTTAAAGAGTGATGGGCCAAAAAACTGGTAAATAGCCCTTTAAAAACAAAAAACGATCAAACCATGTTTTACTTACGGCAGCAGGTAAACTCCGGGTTTAGGCAGAGGCTGGTGTTCCTATGAATGTTTGTTAGGGCTCTGTTCCACTAGGCTCTCACCTGCCCTGCAAGTTGTGAGGAAAGCTGGTAGAAGGAAGAGGCCCATGGCCCTTTCTGTGCCAGGCTCATAAAAAACCCAGTGGCGGAATGGTGTGTTTCACAGGTGCCTGTATTTCTGAAGGGAACAGGATTTAGTTTTATTTCCTTTCCCAGAAGTGAAATCTTGGGGAACACTCTAAAACAAAATGCCGTAATTTATTATAACACCCCCAGGTACTTTTAGTATACATATTCATTTTTTTAAATATTATTATTCTTAAAAGTGTCATTTTATTAGCATTTCTCTTGACAGAGGCGGGGCGGGGCTGCTGGTATTTTTGCATGTATAGGGCCTGAGGGGAAGGAGGACATGGGGATTCAGGTCCTAGTTGGGTTTCGGGTGTTACATCTTGGACCACGTTCTAGTCATTCTGTCCCTGGCCCTCATGGTGCCACAGGGCTGACATCTAGCATCTCACAAGTCCAGACCAAAGAGAGCCTCCAGACCAGCGGTCAGCACCCCTTCCCTGAAGCATTCCTTCCCTGTCGCGTCCTGGAACATGGGCAATTAGGCTGGGAGTTGGTCTTCTAGAGAACGGGAAAATGCATCCTCATTTCTGCTCCAAGATTTCTCTCTTAGGTATGAGAGATCTAGGAAGAGCAATTGTTAACCTTCCCCATGTTTTGTTGCAGGGGAAAAGCCTTTCAAATGTGAATTTGACGGCTGCGACAGGAAGTTCGCCAACAGCAGTGACAGAAAGAAACACTCCCATGTCCACACCAGCGACAAGCCCTACTACTGCAAGATCCGAGGCTGTGACAAGTCCTACACCCACCCGAGCTCCCTGAGGAAGCACATGAAGATTCACTGCAAGTCTCCACCGCCTTCTCCGGGAGCCCTTGGCTACTCGTCCGTGGGGACTCCCATGGGCGCCCCCTTGTCCCCTGTGCTGGACCCAACAAGGAGTCGCTCTAGCACTCTCTCCCCTCAGGTGACCAACCTCAACGAGTGGTACGTTTGCCAGGCCAGCGGGGCCCCCAGCCACCTCCACACACCTTCCAGCAACGGAACCACCTCCGAGTCTGAAGAGGAGGAGATGTACGGGAACTCTGAAGTTGTGCGGACGATACATTAGAATGTATGAATAAATAATAACAAGTAAAAATAGCAAATGGGACTTCTTGGACTATCTCCTAACCTGAGACAATGCTGAGCCTGGGAAAATCTGTGACTCAGACTTGCCACCGGGTCTAATTAGCCCTATTTATTTGGTATGAAACCCTATGGTGTTTGTACATTTAATTAATTTAATTAAGATATTTGGGCATTCTCTCCCCTCTCCCCCTCCTAGAAAACAAAAAACAACCAAGCTGGACTTTACACGTTGCAGGGGGACAGGACTGGGAGCACACTGTATCAAGAAAAATGAGAGAGTAATTGATCAAGATACACACTGCCAATAAAATATATATGAGAAAGAACAATAAGTCAGAACTCCACAGAGCAACAAGACCGTCTGCATTTCCTAGAGTGCCTTGCAAACGCCTTTAGTACCATAACATGGGCTTCTTTGGAGCCTCAGCCTCCTTCTTGGGCCCTCATTCTGCAAAGGCCTCTTGATTGTAAACCACATACTTGCTGCATTGCCAACAGATCTTGGGACCCTTAGGTTGTACCTGTGTCCAAAAATATTTGTAAAAACCTCTTAAGTCTTATTATTTGTCATTTTCCATTTCCACTTTTTATTGCTGATCATTTGATTTCCATTTCCGCTTTTATTATTACATCTAAACACTGTTTTTACACAGGATTATTCAGTCCCCTGGTTGTATGATTTTTTTTAAAAAAATGCAGCAACCTTACTACATTTCCATATATTGTGCTACTGTGATTGTTCAAGCAAACGTGGAGATAAGAGAAAAAGCTGCTGGAAAAAACAACTGTGAAACTGCTCTTTTATAAAATAGAAGAAATTCAAGTGCTTTCTTTTTCCTGATTTTTTTTTTTTTTAACTGAGATCTCAGATGCTGCCTCTTGACTATGTTCAAACTTCTTGTGTCATAAGGAAATCGTGTTTTAGATCGTAAGTTCTTTGGGATGCCAGAATTAACAGGCACGGCTAGGGAGGTGTGAAGTTGGCAGCATGCCTATTTTTTTGAAAGCTGTTGTTTTTAAAATAGGCCAACTCCTCTTTTATACTCTTGTATTAACCTTTTAAGAAGCCTTTATTTTTCGATGCCCGGAAGTGCATTTTAATGCATTTTCTCCCACCTGCGCACTGAGCACACGGAACTCTACCCCATTTGAAAATGACAGTGTGCGAAGTGTATGATTTACATTAAAAGAGGGGAGGGAGTTGCTATACATATTAAAATTTTTTTAAAAGGTTTATAGTTACCACCAAACATTGATGAATGTGTGACCTTGCCAGAGCTGTCAAGCTAGGATAGAAAAGGTCAAGGACCTAGGACAATAACTCTTAGTCAATTTATTTTCGGTTGGTACAACACATCTTGTGTGCAAAATGTAGTCCATCAGAAACATCATACAAATATACTAAAGAGCACTAATTTATCCTCGGAGACCCTGAAGACACCCCTCCCCAGGGTTTGTAGAAACTTGTTTCGTGTACTGTGAGTGGTTGTAGTCTTATCATTGTTAATAACCTGTATGGGAACACTATTTGTACAGCTGAATTAATTTATTTTCAGACATCCCCCCCACCCTTTTTTTTCTTTCTTTCCTGGAAGAGTTCAAAGCACACCAAAGAATTATATTATACATTTTGGTGAAAGATTGTTGTTTATGATCCATGGTTTATTTAAAAAAAAAAAAAAGGCAAGAAAATGGAAGCATATATTTTTAAACTTACTTGAATGAACAACGTAATGTGAAACCAGGACTCTTCCTGCATGTCTTTTTTGCATTGTGTTGAGATTTATATATAGTTTATAGATATATTATATTACTAGTACAGTGCATGGTGCTGTCACTTTGAAAGCCTTTCAATGTTGTCTTCAAATTGTTATGGTGAATATTAAACATGCAGACCCTCCTTTATAAAGAAGATCATAAAACTTGATATAAAATGAGTCTACATTGAAAAGTTTATTTGATTTCCCTATTCACTTTCAAATCTCTTTCAAATAGACAAAAGAAGGTATGAATTTTTGGGGATAATTTATGTATTGTAAACTTATTAGAACAAAATAATTCTGATTTGTCATGAGTTGTTTTATTTATACAACTTTTTCAATGGTAGTTTGCACTATTCTTTATTATGCTACAGGTTTATTTATTATGAAACAAAAGAATATGTATTTTATGTATTTTGCCATGCATAGGTTAACTCTGCCACAGATTTATTGGTTCCTGATACACCTAAAATGAAAAACTTCAAATGTGTACCTTCAATAGAAAGCAAGGATGATTATGGAGTAAAATTTTAATAAAGGTATTCTTCCTATGTATTGTTCATGTTTTTCATAATGGGTTATTTCTGCCATTCTCTTAAACAACAGGTTGCTGACATAATGAACATTAGGTTCTCTTTCCTTGACCTCTTTATTTCATAGCCTCTCCCCAAGCAATAAAATATTTTTACAGCTTGGTTTAACTTACAATCCAATCTAGAAAATGCAATATATCCATGAAGACTAAACCCTGCAGGTTGCACCTAACACTAGCATAAATCTTAGGGGTTACCACATTCATTTGTTAAAATTAATATCCTTTGTGATCCTAATCAGTAAGAAGTGAATTTTATTATTATTATTAAATATATTTTATTGATTTTACACAGAGAGGAATTGAGAGGGACAGAGAGTTAGAAACGTCGATGAGAGAGAAACATAGACCAGCTGCCTCCTGCACACCCCTCAGTGGGGATGTGCCCACAACCAAGGTACATGCCCTTGACCGGAATCGAATCCGGGACCTTTCAGTCCGCAGGCCGACGCTCTATCCACTGAGCCAAACCGGTCCCGGCAAGAAGTGAATTTTAACTTTTTTCTTTTTTTTTTTTTGGTGCCTAACCTCTAAAGTAAATGTCAAAAGGAATGAGGAGAAGATGGAGGGAGGGGCAGAGGCTTCCAGGTACACAAGCAAAATCAGGAGCTGAGATGGATCTTGAAAGAAGTTGAGTAGTGGGCATCAGGTAATGGGGGGGGGGGCAGAATCCAATTATATCGTAGTTTATTTGGAAGTTGAGAGGATATAAGTAACAGCATGCTGAGGCAGGTGTCAAGGAGAAATTACATTTATGTAACAAAATATCCAAGTGCCTTAAACTAATGTAACTGGTTAGCTACATGAGCAAGGCCGAATGTTTGCCTGATAATGTTAGCTGATACAAAACCAATAAAAGGCAAATAATTAAAAGCAATTGATAATAATCTCAGTAAGCAGTTCTCCAAGAGGTTATAGCGATTTTGAAGAGTCAGGTTTATTAAACGTAGTAAAGGTGAAACAGGTTGCAAAGAGTTGTTTTAGGCCAGGTAACAATAACCAGCACACGTAGGAGAAAAACTCATACATGAGGGCCCCAATCAGTGGGAAAACTTATAGCTCTCTAATGAAGTTTCTTGTGAAAAGAAGGGTGACACAAAGCCACCAAGACATGAATCATTCATGGGAAATATAAAAGATAAAAGACCTGACAATGAGCAGAACCTTGTATGGAGTGTCTAAAACAAGTTTCCCCTTCTTATTTTCTGCTTTAAAACGCACAATCTCCCACTCCCGGCCTCCTCTGTCCAGTCTATAGTGTTAAAATTGACCACTGCTCGTCCTGCGCCACTTCAAAGTAATTTAGTCCAGAACGGAAGGCTTGGCGCTTGGACAATCTTCATAGTGTGTTAAGATTTCTATGGCAATTGGCAAGCAAGACGTTCCCATCTGAATATGTCTCAAAGAAAGCCACTTATTGACACTAAGTTGGCTATCATCAAAGACTTCATCTTTCCTCGGCAAAGCGTGGCCCTCGCAAACACTGTTTAAATCATCTATCTTTGTTTTCCAGGCTAGAAGGATCTTTAAACACATCCTGTTTGTAGTTTATGTATATATTTTCCCCACTTGGGATGTTCTTTGGTAAAGGGAATAATGCTATTAGATCAAAAGTACTGGAAAAAAGCTGGGGGTGGGAATGGTATTCTTTTAAGAAGTTGGAGATGGCCACACAGGAGGGATAGCCCTGGGGACAGGAAAAGAGGAGGCTGAAACTCCTTGAAATCTAGGCCGAACTATGGTAAATGGCAAATATTTGTATCACTTGCAGTCTTGTCATTTATATCTTGCATTTTGTGGAAAGCTTCTCTCTCTCTCTCTCTCTCTCTCTCTCTCTCTCTCTCTCTCTCTCTCTCTCTCTCTCTCTCTCTCTCTCCCCCCCCCCCCCCACTTACCTATGACCTACTACCTATTATCTCTTCATAAAATGGTACAAGAGATGTTCACCTGAATTTTTTTTTTTTTTTTTAAATCCCAGAACTACACTTTGGGGAAAAGGGAAGGGGAGCCAGTCTGGCTTCTCCAGTGATCACCTTGAGTCAGAGGAAAGGAAAACTGTACACAAGAGAAACCCACACAATCCTGGCACTTATGAATACTTCCAGCCTATCACGTTATACTACTGGCTTGCCCATTCACCCCTTCTCTACTAAAACAGACACATGGCCACCGAAAGCCATTCTTCCAGGACGAGTGGGCTGGCTAAGGAGGCCCACAGTGAAAAACCCTCAGCCCTGGGGCCCCCGCACACTTCCCCTCCTTGAACAAAAACTCACAGAAACTTACACACACGCCCACGCCACAGACACTCACCAGTACATGCATTCACATGCGAAGCCAGTGCCTAATCAGGCAGGGAGAAGTTCAAAGGCATGTTCTTTGAAATTCAAACCACTGCTTTTTATGGTACATCCACAGAGCATCAGGATTGCTATGGCAATGGACAGTCGCTGGCAGAGGGTCCACAGCGATTCGAGACACTCTATTAAGATACAGTTGCGGTGACCTTTACTTTCATGCCAAGTTAGCTCAGTCAATTTCCACCTCATCAGAAATACGTATTTTACGTGTAATAGAACACCTAGAATATGAGTGACATCTATGTGTTTCTTTCCTTTTTTTTTTTTTTTTTTTGCTAGGAATCTCTCCCCCTCCCCTCCCCTAGCATCTCCTAGCTTGAGAGAAAAGAGAAAGAATGAGCAGACAGAGAAGGAGAGAAAGCCGAGGGAGGGTGGGGGGTGGGTGATGTTGGAGAAGGGGAGGAGAGAGAACCAGAGCCCCAGTTCCTCTCTTCCTTCTTCTTCCCACCTAAGTACTTTTTATTTGGAAAGCGATTGTTCTTTGTTTATTTAATACAAGTACTGGGTGAATGGTGAAAAATAAACACGATGAAAAATAACCAAACAGATGATTCCTCCGAGTGAAAAAGCCCGGACTTAATAAAAAGTGCGAGGCAAGTCGCCGGCTGAATGAGAAGCCCTTTGAAGTGGAACTTATTATGGGAGGAATACTTCGGGGTTGCCCTAACGACGCCGCTGAATCGAAAAGCGCCCGCCTTTGTCAGCGATTTGTTCTCCTTTGCCGGGGCGCCCGGAGGAACCACTTACATGGGCTGCCTTCACACGCGGCCTGCAGATCAGTAACTTCGCAGCTCAGACTTGCAGACGCCACTCGGCCGCGGACAAAAAGAAGTCAGGGGGGAACGCTCAGGCCTTTCACGCCGAATCTCTAGGGATGGGGTTAGGGGGTGGTGGTGGGGGCGCACTGGCGTGTAGGGCGGCAGATAAGAAGTTGTATTACAACTGCCCCCCCCCCCATCTCATTCGGGCTCTCCACTCCCACCCCGACCCCCTGGTCTGGGTGTGGGACCCCGGCCGCCTGGGCCTTAGCCCAGAGGCAGAGGGCGGAGCGGCTCCTCCCGGTCCCTCCAGCGAGGGGCGCTCTCCCGCGCGCCGGCCCGGCTGCAGGGCTTTCCCAGCAGCAGCGGCCCCGGCCCCATATTTAATAAGGGTCGTTCATCACCCAGGCGCTTTGAAGGGTCGCCTCCAGCCCTGTTGCCCATTAGAAAGGCGGAGGTGACATTTAAACTCCGTTTTTTCAAGGATCGCGGGGGGATTTCCATGAAAAGGCAACTCCCGTTTGTCTTAGGAAAGCCTGGAAACAGCCCCCTCCCCCTCCTCCTTCTCCACCTCCTCCTTCTCCTCCTCGCTCCCTTTGACCACATGGCATAACTCAAAAACAATAGTTCAAAAGTGAAATGGCATCGCGGCCGTCCCCTGCGAGGCAGGCCCCCATCCAGCAGCAGAAGAAAAGGGGTAGCCCGCAAGACAATGCGCTTTTTGTGCCCCGCGCTGTCACCGGGACTGTGCTGTTTGCTTTGGAGGCTGCGCCTGTTATGCTTCCCTGAAAGTGCTTGTGTTCAACAAGAGTTATAAGTCATCCAAAACAACAAACATTTTGATTTTCTTTGCCTAAAGGGCTTTCCCCGGCCATGGGCACCGTGAAGAAATAATGTCCTTGCTGAGAAAGGAGCACCAGTAGTAGCATTAGAAGCGGGCGCATTAAATATTGAATGACACGGGGTTGGGGGGGTGGGGGGGAGGAGAGCTTGTCGATGGGCACTCAGCCTTAAAGTCTTTCTTCCACTTTGTCTTCGGGGGCTGCTGCCGGACTGTGTAAGATGGTATTAATTAAGGCGGCTTCGGATTGCCGCCGCCGAGCCCGACAGCCGCGCGGCTGCGCCGGGTCCATGGGCCTGCGTCCCCCCGCGCGCGGCTCCCGCGTCGGCCGGGCCCGGCGCAAATGTCACTTCTCATCTGAAAGCTGAAGAGAAGGGTGGAGGGCATGTAGTCATCAGCAGGCGTTAAAGGAATATGCGGGGCTTAGGGTGAGGGGAGCGGGGGAGGCGGGAACAAAACAGGAACATCTGCCCTGGGCCGGGGCGGAGAGCGCGCCAGCGTGAGCCGCCTTTGGCACCGTTTGGAGAGAGTCGTTTAGCAGACAAGGGCCGCGCGGGGTTCGCCGGGTTGGGACATCCAGGGACATCTACTCTCCGGTCTGCTCCTGCGTGGAGAAAATGAAAACCCCAGCCCTGCGAAAACCCACCAGGCAGCTGGGCGGGGCACTATTTTACAAAGAGACTAGCTTCTTCAAAGACAGACAAAGGCTTGAGGCAAACAGGCCTTTTGACCGATTTCCTTCCCCACCCCCCACCCCTCACCCTCACCCCCACCTCCCACCCCCCTCAGGTCCCCTTCACAGAACACAAATAAAGCAAGCCCGGAGGGCCTCAGCCAGGGACCTGCCATCCAATTTTACAGATGGTGAAACTGAGACCTCAAGCAAGACTCAGAGACGATTTGTCAATATCCAAGGAGCCCGAAGTTGAGACTCTAATGGAGTCAAAAGACCCAACCAGGAGTGCAGTTCTATTTAAGGACACCAACAACCACTTCAAAGCATCCCCTCCTCCGCCCTAACACCAACCTAATACCAAGCGTTTGATTCAAAGTCAAATGGAAGTTGGTTCCAGCAGCTGGAAATTCCTAACATTCAGAGAGAGAGAGGGGGGGGGAGAGAGAGAGAGAGAGAGAGAGAGAGAGAGAAGCTTACTGCCAACTAACTGTGGCCTAAATGAAATGCATCTCTTAAGTAACTATGTTAACTATTAGCTCTTGAGGCCAAGAGACAAGACTGGCCAGAGTGGAGGGGTGCAGAGGACCCTGGCAGATTGATTTTTGCATTTAAAACCCTCATGGGAGTCAGTTTCTTGGTATGGAGTTCCAGATGGACACGAGCCTTTTCGTTTATCACGTGACCCTTTGGAGGTGGGGCTTCCTCCTGCGTGTATGGCAGTGATTTGGTCGTTGCGGCCAGGTACAGGGTTTTAGCACCCTTGACTCTAGATTCATTTGCAAACGCCTGCTTTTCCATCTCGGGATATGTGCCCTCAGGGCTCCCTCCGGCCTCCTGGGTGAGGATGGTCATCTATCCCACCCAGAGCCATCCTGCAGGGGAAGCAGTTTCTACCATCCTGCAAGGCTGGGCTTTGTTAGAGTGGGGAGGGGTGGCGAAGCTGGGGCCTGTCGGTCCCAAGACTGGGGCCCTCAGCCTACACCCTGCGCCCCACTGGGAGCTGGAGGCCTTGCTCTGGGGCGGGAACGGTCTAGCCAGCTCTGGAAGTTACTGGAGATGGGCGGTGGAGAGGAGAGAGGTTTGCCAGACCTTCCTCCACCCCCACCCCCAGCAACAGGTTTGCAAAACCTAAGTTTGGGTCTTTCAAGGCCCAGTAGCAAACCTGGGTGATATGATATTTTTTTTTTTTCATCTTTGGTCCCCACTTCCCTGCTTTTACTCTTTTTGCAAGAACAGGCCCTAGGCCAGGGTAAGAGATGCAAACATGTTGGCCCGGAACGCAGGGACGCGCGCCCCTCACACACACACACACACACACACACACACACATTCACTCACGGAGAACTGAACCCCCCGCCTCCCTCCCAGCCAGCGAGCGCACTGGGCACACGCTCGGGCTCCAGGCACCTTGCCAAGAGCGCGCGAGCACCCTGCGTGGCACACTGGCTTCAGTTCCTGCACCGAGTGGCAGGGGTGGGGTGGGGTGAGGAGGGAGGGTGGGTGGGTGGCGGTGGACGCTGCCGACTGCTGGCGGTGCGCACAAGTTCAGTGCTCAACTTCCCGCTCCTAACGGGAGCCGGGAGCCCTCTGGAGAGAGGCCCGCGGGAGCGGCGGCGGGGCTGGGCGTGGCGTGGGTAAGCGGGACGCGCGGGGCGCGGGCGGCGGGCAGGAGGGCGCGGGGGTGCCCGCTGGCGGCCGGCCGGGCGCTGGGGGAGGGGGGAACGTCGGAGCGAGCAGCTGTGACTTCACCCATTAGCCCCGATGTCTTTCCGCGGAGCCCGGCCGAGTCAAACAGCCCACAATGGGCGCTCTGGGGCGCCTCCCGCCTGACCTCCATCCGGGTTTAATAGTTTCATAGGAACTTCATTAAATCAATTACTCGGTGAGCACATCATCATTTATTCGTAATTAGCGGCGAGGAGCGAGCGCGTTCTCCTTCCCCGGCCCCGCGGCCCGGGTCCCAGCGGGGTTGGCGGAGTGAGTTGCGCAAAGCAACTTTTGTCTGCCGGCGTGTGGACTCCCGGCATTCTGCGGCCCCGGGGTGATCTTTACGTCTTAATCTAGCCTTCCAGGGACGCAGGAAAACACACAGGGCGCAGGCCGGAGGCCAGCCCTGCGCTCCCCGCCGCCCGCGGAACACCCTTCTCCCCGCCCCCGCTCCACGCGCGCGGGGCGCGTCCCTGCGGCCCCCTCTGCTCCGGGCGGAGAGGCAGGCGCAGGGGCTGGAGGGGGCAGAGGGCGGAGGGGGCAGGGGCTGGAGGGGGCGGAGGATGGAGGGGGCAGAGGATGGAGGGGGAGAGGGCTGGAGGAGGCAGAGGATGGAGAGGGCAGGAGATGGAGGAGACAGGGGATGGAGGAAGCAGAAGGATGGAGGGGGCAGAGGGATGGAGGGGGCAGAGGGATGGAGGGGGCAGAGGATGGAGGGGGCAGAGGATGGAGGGGACAGGGGATGGAGGGGGCAGAGGGCTGAGGGGGAAGGAGGCAGGGGCAGAGGATGGAGGGGAAGGAGCCAGGCCAGGGCCCCTCGGAAGGCAGGCGGTGGCGAAAGAAGAGGAGATGAAAGAACGAAAAGAGGAAACCAGGGTCAGGAACAGGAAAGCACGTCCTGCACAGCAGCCACAAAAGGCGAACGTCCAGGCTCGTGCGTGTGTGCGGGAGGGCGGCGTTTGGGGGGAGGAGATGCGTGTGCGCGCGCAGGGTGTGCGTGGAATCACATCCATGGCCGACGCCGGGAGTCCGGGCCGGGAGAGGGAAGCGCAGCGCCTGCAGCGGTGGTGCCGGCCTCGCATGCGCGGGGGCAGCTCGCCAGGTGTCCCGGCTGCAAAAAAAGCGCTTTCATTTGGGGACCGCAGCCCCGGGCGCCGCTCCAGGGCGGCCCACAAATGACGGGCGAGCGGCTGGCGAAGAAAGGGGGGGCGGGGGCTGCGGGAAGCCAAGCCAGGACCTGCGCGTGCGGAGCGAGCGGCGCGCGTAACGGCCCCGCGAGGAGTGGCGATGCCGTCGGAGGGGAACCACGTGTCCCCCTGGGCCGCGCGGCCCTGGCCCGGCCCGAGTCCTGGCCCCATCCATTTTCTGCCGCCGGTTGGAGAAGTCCCTCCAGCAGAGAGAACTTGCAACTTCTGCCGGCGACCCCCCTTCAGGAAACGGAGGGGACCCCAGAAGGGCTGGGGGGAGGGGGCAAAGGGTCACTGATGCTCCCCGTCTCGGGTCCACTCAGGAGCGAGCGAGTGTGAACCACTGTGAGGTTAGGGAAAGGTCCACGGGACATACACGAGTGGGCTTCCAGAAGAAACAGGGGGCCCCAGAGGGGGCCCCAGATGGTCGTCTCTTAGGGGGACTCGGTGTATTGGAGGATTTCCCCACGGGTGTTTGTGGCCAGGCCTGTTGGATTCCGAGTCGTTACTTGGAGGCTGTGAATGTGTGCAAGGGGCTGTTGCTTTGTTAGTGATTCCATACAGACCGCATCAGCGTGTGGAGTGCTGGTCCTCTCCCGAGCCCAAAGAGAGCCTGGCCAGGCATCAGAGGTGGCTGCGTGGTGACAGGGTGTGACCTGGATGGGGGTGGAGAGGACAGAGTTGAAGTGTGGCCCCGAAGGCCTCTGGTTCCTGCGAAGTGTAGGTGGCTCTTTAGGGTGCCAGGGGCCCTGACCCGGGTTCTCCTGAGGCCTGCAGCCTGGTGAGCCCATTGGGCTCACAGGAGGGGGTCTTAAATCTCCCTCTTCCTCAATCCCCCAGGCTTCTCCTGTTCTCCCTTTCCTCAGATCTCATCATCCTGCATTCAGTCTGTGCCTTTTTCTCCTCTTTTTTTATCCTCCTCTTTGCACAGCTGACTCACAGGTTCCTTGGCCTTATACATCCTTGAGCCTGGTGGACACAGGAGGAGAGAGAGGCAGGCAGCAGCTCAGATCCTGTTTCCAAATAGGCCTGCTTGAATTGCAGAGATCCCACTGAGACCCTCAGCTGCTGCTGCCCCACCCCGTGGCATGGTCTGAGAGCGTGGGTCAGCCTGAAAAACAGGAAATGGATGGAGAAAAGGTCCATCCTCTAGCAAGTTGGTACTCTTTTCAAATATAAAAAAAGCACTTTGCATACTGCCTCCCAAAGAAGGTAAAACAAAAACGGTCAGGCTCCCAGAAGAATTACAAAGGACATAATCAATGTATACATATAGAGCAAAAATATAAACAGATCTCCAAACACTGTAAACACAGACGACCTTTAGACTCTGTTGCACATGGTTGTGCACAGTGAATACCTGTGCGTGTTACATGTATATTTGAGCAGAAAAGTCTATACACATGCACACGGTTACAGCACATTTAAATTCAACCTGCAAATGATCAAGGTCTATACATCCTGAACCTAAACAAATTTAATTTTATTTAAAATGTAATTCACTCCTGACTTTCCTCTCCATGTTTCCCTCTTTCTCCGGCCCCCAACAACCGTTTAATAACATAGCATCAGTTGGAGAAAAGAAGGCAAGTCAGGCAAGTATTTTATGAGCTGGCAGGGAATTTGGTGAAGCGGATGATTTAGAAAATCTGGCTGCTGGCTGCAAAGTTTTCTTAGCGATACTCCGATTCTGCGTCTCTCCCCCTGCTCCGAGTCCCAATAGCGTTTAACCCATTAGCTGGCTCACGTCTCAGATTCTGTTCCGATTCCGTCTCGACTGGGCTGTGTACATGACTGGCACCCTACCTGCCTGGCGGAGCCCTGTCCTCCCGCCGTTCCCCACTTCCTTCCCTTCCTCACTGACATGCGCTCCTTATGTGCCTGGGGCCCATGCCATCGGGCCTGACAGCCCAAAACTAATAGGCATCAAGCTCCCTGTTCTGTCATCTCGACGGAGGGCTCTGAACAGGCTTCTCTCCTCACTGTAAGGGCTGCAGGTTTGTCTTCCTGTGCTGGCAGGGAGAGGGAGGCCTGGCACTGCCATCCCACAGATGCAAAGCTGGGCCAGCGCCGTGTGAGGGGACCCAGGAGCTCCTGGCAGCCTGGCTCCGGGTAATGGTGTGTGAGGGGAGCTTAAGGGAGTGCCCAGGGGAAACGTGCATGAAGCCCAGGCTTGCCTCCCGTCAGGGCACAGGGCAGAGGTGTGACGGCTCTGACCGTTTCTTAAACTGGCCCCAGAGAGGAAGCGTCAGAAAAACCGCTGGCTTAGGCCAAGCGTCTGTGTGTTGCGGAGAGAAACTTCTGGGTAGGCATGGGCCTCAGCCTGGGCCTTCTTTCCTTTCTGCCATCAGACTCAACGGCTTCTTCTTCGGTGGTTTCTAGGTTCTGCTGCTGATAACCGTGAGGAATAAAACCACGAAGTGATTCTAGGCAAGTCCTTCTCAGGAAGGAAGAGCCCCAAAAGATGGGGGCTTATTTCACTGAGCATCATGTTCTCAAAGTTCACCCCGTTGTCGTATGCATCAGAACTCCATTTCTTTTTAATGCCCGAACAATATTCAAATGCATGGATAGACATGATTTTGTTGATCCGCTCACCTACCCATGGGAATTGGGCCGTTTCCATCTTTTGGCTGTTGTGAATAGGGCTCCTAGGAACATGGGTGTGCTCCACACTTTTATATGTACGTATGCACCTACATAATAGACTTTTTTATGAACCAGTGTAAAACACTTTAAACTAAAGGGGTTGCTCCAGCCAAGAATTTAAAATGGTATCAGATACCTCACTTGGATCTGGCTTTCTGAGGTCAACCAAGTGCAGCTGGAATTCGCTGGAGAGCCAACGCATGACTTCCAGCGCCATGGCATTCTCATCTGTGTGAGTGTGTGTGTGTGTGTGTGTGTGTGTGTGTGTGTGTCCAGCCCTACCCAGTGCTGCTGCTGCTTCAGAGGAACTATTAACACATTAATATTATCAATAGCAGGCCGTGCCTGAGCCATTAGGGATTTATGAAAACATCTGAAGCAAGTCGTTTCAAAGCGCTGATTTGTTTTATAGTCAGTATTACATTTTATGACAGGCTCTTTTGCCAGCAAAATGAGCGTATAAGCATCATACACAGCTCGGTAGACGGAAACCGGTGCCCTGAGCTGCCCCACAAATTTGTGCTCCAGATCCCTGGGGAAGCTTCTGCAATTTGCAGACAAACTCCTAACCCTTTGCTGAAGGGTCGGCCCAGTCCTTCATGGGGAGTGTGCCCCCCTTACATGTTTAGCCCCCCTCCCACAGCCCCTTCCCTTTCTGTCATTTTCCTCAGAAAAAAAAAAAAAGAAGAAGAAAAAAAGTGCCTTATTCCTTAGGACACAATGAGAAAGCCCGTCGCCAGTAGGCCAAAGCCAAACACATCTCCTGGCCACTTCTGCTTTCTGGGACAAATTCTTTAGTTTCGGACACGTCTCGGCCCTCGTGAGGACGCGGTGCCAAAGAAAAGGGGCCAGTTGGTCCCTCGGAGGAGGTGGATGTGTGTTTCTCAGCTTCCCTGAGCCTCTCCCTCTTCATTCAGACCTCCACCATCTCCACTCGGCCCTGCACTCCCAGGCCCAGATCAACCCCAAAAGAAGACTGGGGTGTAGGTGGACAGGGTGGGGGTGGGGCCCAGTGGAGTGGAGGGGAAACACAGCCCTCCTCCTTCCAGAAAGCGGGGGTTGCTGGGTCCCTCCCTCCGCCCCTCTCCGGGCGGGAGATGGCACCACAAAGTTCCTGCTCACCAGCTCCCAGCGAGCTGGGTTTGTAATATTTTACAGCCGCTGTTTAACATTTCCCTACCTAGTTATTAAACACGAAAGGGAGTAAATTAAAACGGCAAACTAAAATGAAATAAAAGGCGTCTTTTCTTTCTGTAAAGAGACAACACCTAATTAAGGAATACTTGAGTCCCACAAAAATGCAGACTCTCGCGGGTGACATAAAACCTCTCCTTTTTAAAAGCAGGAACACAAAACCCCAGAAAATTGGGGACAGGCCCAAGAGGTAGCCCTTTAAAACAAAAAGCTCCTTCCTCTGGAGACTTCTGACTTGTTTCCCCCTTCCTTTTTTTTTTTTTTTTTTCCTCTTCCACAGCCCTGGGGGAGGATTAAATTCGAACGACTCCTTTGAGTCCAAGTTTTCTGGGCCGAGGCCAGGCAGGCACCAGGCCGCCCTCCCTTCCTGCCCAAGGCGACCTCCAGCTCCAGCTCCAGCTCCAGCTCCAGCCCAGCCAGCCCAGCCCGGAGCTGCGGGCCCTCCCCCTCCCCCCTCCCCCCCTCCCTGCCCCTATTCTCTTCCCTCCCCCTCCTCCTTTACTCCCTTTCCCCTTCCTCTCTTCTCCCTTCCCCTCTCCCTTCTCTCTCCCCTCCCCTCCTCCCATTCCTTCTTCCTCCACCTCCTTCCCCCTCCCCCTTCCTCTTTTCTCCCCTCCCCTCCTCCCTTCTCCTTCTCTCCCCTCCCCCTTGTCTTCCCTCCTCTTCTCTCCCCTCCTCTTCCCTCCCCTCCCCTCTTCCCTCCCTCCCCCTCCTGTTCCTTCCCCTCCTCTTCTCCCCTCCCCCTCCCCTCCCCTCCTCTACAGGGCCTTTCAGTCCCAATTCACAGTCCATCCCAGCCTCTCCTTTGTCCCCTCCCACCTGCTTTTTCTTGGGGGGGGGGCGGGAAGGGGGGCACTACTTTCTGCAGCCCCCCACCTCTTTCAGGGAGAGCTCTCCCAAACAGCACGCCCACCCCACCTTCCAGCATCCCAAAGCTGGGAGAGCGGGCCTCCTCCTTTTTCCCTCTGGCTTTTATCTGGTTCCCGGCAAATACCCAAAGCTCCGGCCTCCTCCGGGGATTTCCCGCCAGCCGGAGTCTCCCTCCCCCCGTGGGGCACGGCCTCCTGGTCACCCGGGGAGCCCCGCGCTGGCATTTGCCCTGGGCCTGCTGCGAGGCACCTGCTGGGGAATCAAACTCACAAACTCTGGGTGCCCCACACCCGGAGGCGCAGCCCCCCCGGGAGCCAGGCCTCCTGCTCCGGTCAGCGGGCAGGCTTTTCTGGGGGACAGAGGGCTGGAGTTCTTCCTTCCTTAGCTCTGTAGCTACTCTTTTTTGTCCTTAATCCTCGGCTTTTCCCCCGTTGATTTTTAGAAGGACAGAGAGAAGTGGGAGGGAGAGAATGAGAAGCAGCGATGTGAGAGACACGTTGATTGGCTGCCTCCCTGCCTGCGCCCTGATCTGGCCGGGGTTGAACCTGCAACCCAGGTGCATGCCCTTGCTTGAGAATCCAATTAGCAAACCTTTAAGTGCACGGGATGATGCTCTAACCATGTAGCAACACCAGCCAGGGCCCTGTAGTACTTCTTTTAGGAGAGTATCATTCTTTATATATTTTTAATTGATTTTTTTTTGCAGAGAGGAAGAGAGAGGGATAGAGGGTTAGAAACATCAACGAGAGAGAAACATTGATCAGCTGCCTCCTGCAAACCCCACACTGGGGATGTGCCTGCAACCAAGGTACATGCCCTTGAGCGTCGGCAGGCCTATGCTCTATCCACTGAGCCAAACTCGTTTCAGCGAGAGTATCGTTGTTTAGTCCTATCATTGGGGGTTTGGGGGTGGGGGTAGGAGGGAAAGAAAGCTATGGGGGAGGCTAAACAGTATGGATTGACATGTCTTGAGACATCTACACATTAAAGACACCCTCTCCCCAAGCTTGCCTTTCTGATATGACTTTGGGATTTTGAAGGTTTGCAAGTCCTGCAGAATTTTGCAATCACAATGCATGGGATGGAGCCAGAGGTCCCCAGATATCTGCTTATTAGACTAAACAGTAAAAGGACATCATTTCTTCTTTTCAAGACATAAGGAGAGGCTATTTTGTTGGCCTTTCCTTTTGGGATGGATCCTGTGTCTGGCTTTGCGTAAGCTGGGCAGACATGGCTGGCACCAAAGTAGTGTGTGGTAGCAGTGGTGTCTGGCTTTCCCTGATCGGCTGCAGAAACATGTGTATGGCTGGCTCAGCCCAAGTCCAGGAGCCCAGGCCTCTTAGCTGCAGTCCTGCCTTCTCCTTTCTTCTCTGAAACATGAAGGGAGAGGGGGAAAAAAGTGTTTTAAAGTTCTTTAATTCCTTTCATCTACATTAAAATGCAATGCATATCATATTTCTGAGTGAACCCCTGGGTGGTATTTGTAGAAAGTATCTTACATCTATATTATATCTAAGCCTCGCACATGTATTAACTATTCGTTCACACACTACTTCTCTAAAGTAGAGTGGGATGGTTTCACTAGAACTGAATCAGAAAGTTAAGCTTACACAGTAGGAAGTGTGGAACCAAATTAGTTCCAAAAAAAAAAAAAGTGATATTGTAATTTGGTGACCAGATTTCTTGGGTTTTCTGACATAATAAGATCAGGGGAAGATCATGGCTCCATCAGTCGCTCTCTTTCAAAATTGCTGGACCCCATTCCCAAGCAACACTCCGGGCTGTGGTACATCTTCTTTAATGTACAATATAATATTTACACTGAGAAGACCCTCATCAGCTTCCCATTCAAATTCACCTTATCTCCAAAGTCAGCCCTTCCATCCTCCCCGTCCCCAGTCCTGTGTGATCATTCCTTTCTTTGAACACTGATGGCCAGACCGACAGCATCCTCCGTAGCTCATCTAAATCCACAGCAAGGCTGCGAAGCACAGGCTCTCATTATCTCCCTGTCACAGATGAGGAAACTGAAGCACAGGGAGATAAAATGCTAGTTCGCGGTCACACAGTGAGAAGGATAGAAGTAGGAATTGAACCTCTCTAATCTGGGCTCCATAGTCCATGTTTCTGACTCTTATAGGATGCTGCCTTTCACCTCTAGGGCAGTCTTAAGACTGTGAGGCATCTTGTTTGAATTGTCTCACAGCTCAGTGAGTGCCCTTCACTACATGATGCTGGGCCATCTCCCCAGCTATGGGTGTATCCCATTTTGCCTTAGGTGTATAAAAGCACATTTTATCCTTCTTATGCAATTGTAAGCTCCTTGAGAGGGGTGGCTGTATTGAACTGTTTTAAATGTCCGGTAGTACCTGTTACCTATTCAGTAGACATACTTGTTGTACTTATTTTTGGAATAAAGCTACATCAACTGGAAAATCACTTGTTCCCCAAGTATTCATTGAGTACTAACTATGCAGCAAGCACTATTAGGCCCTGGTGAGCAAGTCAGATAAGATTCCTGCTGTTAAGATACTTAATTTAGGTGTGTGTATAGGGGGTTGGGGGATAAAGACACATATGTAAACCTTAATCAATAAAGAAAAAAAAGAAAAAATAATAAATAAAATGGGGGGAAACAACAATAATAATTAAAAAAAAAAAAAAAAAAAAAAAAAAAAAAAAGAGCTAGCCCTAACTGATTTGGCTCAGTGGATAGAGCATCAGACTGTGGATTGAAAGGTCCCAGGTTCGATTCTGATCAAGGGCATGTACCTTGGTTGCAGGCACATCCCCAGTGGGGGAGGTGCAGTAGGCAGCTGATTGATGTTTCTAATTCTCTCTCCCTCTTCCTTCCTCTCTGTAAAAAATCAATTATATATATATATTCAAAAAGCTAAAAAGTCTGGGGCTAACTAGGGAACTTAGCTCATGGACACCAACAATAATGTGGTGAAGAGTGGGGAGGGGTGACTGGGGGTGGAGAGGGTCAATGGGGAAAAAATGGGGGAACATCTGTAACACTTTCAACAATAAAGATACATTAAAAAAATAAAACATTAAATTAAAAAAAATAAACTTAATTTTAGTTGAAACAGTTGGTAAACAAACAGGTGAAATAAGAAAACAATCAAGTAGTATATTTGAAAAATCAGAATGGGTGATCACAAAGGGGTTCTTTGGAAAAATAAGATCTAGAACGAGTGAGCCATGTGGAGAGGAGAGGAACAGCATTCTAGCCAGGGACTAGCTGGGCAGAGAGGCTTTGAGGCGGGAAGGGGATCCGTGCCCAGTGACTTGAGCGGTCTGCAGGATGTCTCAGCATGAGCACAGGTCTTAGCTCAGACTACTATAACAGAAGACCCGAAACTGGGTGGCTTAAACAACAAACATTTACTTATCACAGTTCTGGAAACCGGAAAGTCCAAGGAGGTGGCAGGTGCCTGCAGAGGGCCTTTTCCTGGTTTGCAGATGGCTGCCTTCTCGCTGTGTCTCCCCGTGATGTGGCGAAGAGTCTCTTCCTTTTCTTATTTGGCCACTAATTCTATCATGGGAGCCCCAGGTTCATGGCCTCATTTAAACTTAATTACTTCCGAAAGTCCTGGCTTCAAATACCATCGCATCGGGGCTTGGGGCTTCGACATAAGAGTTTGGGGCAGGGGGCCCCAGCACACAAATATTCAATCCATAGCAGCACAATTGACATTTCGGGCCACATAATTATTAGTTGTAGGGGTCTTCCCTGTGCCTTGTAGGATGTTTAGCTGTATTCCTCCCACCCCCACCCCCTGACCTCTACACATTAGATGATAGTGGTAACCTGCTCCCCTCTGAACTGTGACAATAAAAAAAAATGTTTCTTGATGTTATTAAATGTTCCCTGAGAGCAAAATGACCCATCCCTGGATGAGAACCACCGCATGAGTGGTTAGAAAGATGGCTAGCATGGCAAGAGCATGGTTAAGCCGATGGATGAATGTAAGATGAGGTTGGAGAGCTGTAGGTTGTGCTCAGATCGTGTAAGGAGTTTAGATGTTACTGGAGAGGCAATGAAAGCCAGTGGAGGGGGTGAAGCTGGGGCAGGAGATGATGCAATTTACTGTTTTGGGCAGAGGGAGAGACTGGGTGTTATGTGGGGGGAAGAGGGGAGCAGGAGGTTTTGGGAGCAAGCTATTGCCGTGTTCCAGACGATGGGGGAAGGGAGATGGAGCAAAGCGGACAGGTTCAGGGTGAGTTTTAGACGTCTAGATGACAGCACTTGCTGAATCGACAGTGACAGGTGAGGAAGGGAAGGATGCAGGAAGTGACTAACGATTTGAGTCCAGTGGTGCCATTAGAAAGGCCTTAGCTGGTTTGGGACAGAAGGTCATTGCTGTGGAGATGCCAGCGAGACAAAAGGATATTTGATCCTGGAGACCCAGG